ATATCTTATATCATTATACCTTTTATATTTTTATACTTATAATTTTTATATTTTCTTTTATATACATATATATCTTATATCATTATATCTTTATATTTTTATACTTCTATTTTTTATATTTTCTTTCATATACATATATATCTTATATAATTATATCTTTATATTTTAATACATATCATTTTTATATTTTCTTTTATATATATCTTTTTTTCATATAAAAAGAGTCGATAGAAAGGAGGCTTTTGTACAGGAATATTAGGCCCTTTAATCATCACCCGATCTGTCTCTCCTGACTTCCACGCGACGAACTTTGTATGGAAGTTCTCTCTTTAAAACTTCATTACAAAGTTCGCTGTAACTAACTACAAGATGAAGTGAGAAACGATTTCTGGTACTTTCCTAATGGTGGCTAATCGTTTCCAGAACAGCGATTGTAAAAATGTAGTGATTTTCATGGTACTGTGTGATGTCTAGGAACCTCAAGTTTTCTTATGGTGATTTAGTTGTTGTTGTTTTGTAAGTTTTCAGGACTTATTATTTTTTATTATTTTTTTATTATTTTTTGTCAAATGTCGAAAAGATATGAATAAACTAAGCGTCAGATTGAGAGAACGAGATACATTTAGTGAAAAAAGTAATAAATAAAGTAATAAAGTAATAATAAAGTATAATAAAGTAATAATAAATGTATAATAAAGTAATATATAGGTATAATAAGTATAATAAAAAGTAATAAATCTCGGCAAAACAAGCAGGCAAAATAACACGCCAACAGAAAAATAGTAATAATATTCTTGTATTTCCTTTTTTTAATTATTATTTCTTTTTATCATTAAAAAAAATAATTTAGTTATTTTTCATTATTTTTAACGTTATTTTTATGTTAATTTTTGTAAGGCAATTACCGAGACGAGTTATTAGGTAAGATGTCATTTCGATATTGGTTTCATTTGCTATTTATGTTTAATTACTTCTCTGTTAATTAATTTACTTATCTGTCTATTCATTCATTCACATATTTATCAAACATCCATGTGTTTCTCTATTTTTGTCAATTTGTTTGTTTATCTATCCATTCATTTTTTTCTATTTATCTGTACATCTATTTGTCTATTTATTCCTTTATTAGTCTAATTATTAATTTATTTTTTATTATTCATTTACTTTACCGGTTACATAACGAAAATGCCGAAAATATCTCCTTTACGTTATTCATTGTTAAGGTTTATGGTCCATAGGGTCTCATGAGGGATATCAGATCGATAGATAGAGAGAGAGTAAAAAAAATGATGGATTATTTAAAAAGAAACCGATGGATAAAGAGGCATATAAACAGAGAATGATAATTAATAAATATAAGAGAAATAGTCGATAAGTATAGGAAACTGATAAATATGTCGACAGAAAAAAACATACAGAGAGATAATTGATAAGAGGAATATATATAGAGAGATAATTAAGCGGAATAATAGTGACTTTGACTGAAATATAGAAAAATAGTTAGACAGATGAGGAGATGAGATAGACAGACTATCAAGTAAGAGATAGATGACGAGAGATTACATATTCACGCGTAATATATTTCCCGGATGTAAAAAAATAAAAATACCCATTTTTAGAATCATAAGCAAAATCTAATTAATCCCGCTAATGACGAGCATACGTGAGGAGAGAGAGAGAGAGATAGATAGAGAGAGAGACAAAAAAAAATCATATCAGAATTAAAAAAAAAAAAAAAATCTCTCCAGCCTTTTTAATCTCTTTTTTCCAAGGTCAAGTTTACCAAGCTGTTTATGAAATCTGAAGGCGAGACACTATGCTAAATTCTCACGTGCAAGACGGCTGAGTTGGTGTTCTAGTAAATATGAATTTGAATACGTTGCGTGTGTCAGCAGCTTTGGAAAGAGGGAGGGGAGGGAAGGAGGAAGGGAAGAAGAGAAGGAAAGAGGATAAGAGGAAGGGAGGGAAGGAGGAAGAGAGGGAGGGAGGGAAGGTGGGAAGGAGGAAGAGAGGGAGGCAGGGAAGGTGGGAGGGAGGAAGAGAGGGAGGCAGGGAAGGTGGGAGGGAGGAAGAGAGGGAGGGAAGGAGGAAGAGAGGGAGGGACGAAGGGAAGAAGAGAAAGAAGGAAGGAGGGAGGGAAGGAGGAAGAGAGGGAGGGAGGTAAGAAGGAAGGAAGGAAGAGAAGGGGGGAAAGAAGGAGGGAGGGAAGGAGGAAGGGAGGAAGAGAAGTAAGGAGGAAGAGAGAGAGAGAGAGGGAAGATGAGTGAGGAAGAGAGGGAGGAAGGGGAGGGAAGTGATGGAAGAGAGGGAAGGAGGGAGATAGAGAAATAGGGAAGGGAAAGAGAAGGAGGGAGGGGGGGGGGTAGGAAGGAAAGAGATAAGGAAGGAGGAAGAGGGGGACGGAGGGAGCGAAAGGGAGAGTCGTAGGGAAGAAGGAAGGAAGAGTGGAAAATAAGAAACAGGTGAAAGAGGGTAGAAGAGTGGGAAGGAAATGGAGAAA